AGGAGCCGCGGTAGCCGCCGGCGGAGGGTGAGTTTGCCCAGCACGGGTTTGTTTTTAAGTTGTTGGGGGGCAAGAGGGGGTCGCAGGTTTAAATGTTTTCTTTCCACAGGGTGCACCCAGATTACCAGGTCCAGGTTAAGGTTGGGGACCACCGCATGCCAAAGTTCGCTTGGGGGGAGACTTTTCACGGTTGGAATCCCTTTTTGGCTTCCTTGGAGCAAAGCGCCAGCCCTGGGGTCGGGATGTTCTTCGGAGTCAAGCCCGAGGGTTCCGGGCCGTTGGGAGACATGTGGGGCTGTTGTTGAGTTCGTTGGGGCCGCGGGGGGGGTTTTGTGGTCGCCTTGGATGTGGCTTTTGAGGGGGGTGGGCCCGTGGGATGAGTGGCCGGGATGGGGTAGCAGCCGAGCGGAAAGGCGCGGGCCGTTGGTGTTTTTGGAGGGTGGCTGGAGGAGAGGGCAGAGAGCGCGTTGGGTGTGCAGTGGTGTGGCTCCGGGGGCGCAGGGAAGGCCCGGGGAGGGGACCCCCCCCCCCCCCCCCCCCCAACACACACCCACACACTTCTTGAACCCCCGATGATGGCTTGTTACTGGCTTGTGCTTGTGTGCACGGTGAGCCACAGTGACAGTGTTTCCGTACTTGTACTTGTGACTCTCACCGTGTGCGATCCTCCTCACTGGGGACTGTCCTCACTTTTGACTGTTGATCTCTTGAACAATGAATGCACATCTCTCTGCACTCTATGATCTTTCAAGTTTGATCTAATACTAAGGACCTTCCGTCCTCCCGCCTCCCGGGGCTCCGGTTCTCCCCGATTCGTTCTCTTGCTCGCTTGATGAGCGCGTCATACGACGGCCGGTGTCGGGTCGTAGAGGTCGCTGTTGGTGTCGCTTTGCTCCGCTGGGCGCCTTTCGTCTTCGCGAGCGTCTGCCAGCTCCCGCGGTTGTGAGAGTGTCGGCGGAGCGGAGAGGTTTCCACGGGCGAGGTCGGCGGCAAGGTTCGGCGGTCTCCCTGTA